AGGTGTGTGAGGGAGGGGGTGAGGTGAGGTGTGGGGGAGGGGTGGTGGGGAGGTGTGGGGGGGGGGGGAGAGGGGTTGGTGGGGTGTGGGGGGAGAGGGGTGGGTGAGGTGTGGGGGAGAGGGGAGTGGGAGGTGTGGGGGGAGAGGGGTGAGTGGGAGGTGTGGGGAGAGAAGGGGTTGGGTGAGAGGTGTGGAGGAGAGAGGGGGTGAGTGGGGAGGTGTGGGGAGAGGGGTGAGTGGGGAGGGTGTGGAGGGGGGTGAGTGGGGAGGGTGTGGGGGAGAGGGGTGGGTGGGAGGTGTGGGGGAGAGGGGTGGGTGAGGGAGGTGTGGGGAGGGGGGGTGAGTGGGGAGGTGTGGGGGAGGGGGTGGGGTGGGGAGGGGTGAGGGGAGGGGGAGGGGTTGAGGTGAGGTGTGGGGGGAGGGTGGTGAGGAGGTTATGGGGGAGGGGTGGAGTGGGGAGGTGTGGGGGAGAGGGGTGGGTGGGGAGGTGTGGGAGAGAGGGGTGAGTGAGGAGGTGTGGGAGAGGGGGTGGAGTGAGGAGGTGTGGGGGAGAGGGGTGGGTGAGGAGGTGTGGGGAGAGGGGTGAGGAGGAGGTGTGGGGGAGGGAGGGGTGAGTGGGGAGGGTGTGGGGAGAGGGTGAGTGAGGAGGTGTGGGGGGAGAGGGGTGAGTGGGGAGATGTGGGGGAGAGGGGGTGAGGGTGGGGGAGGAGGTGTGGGGGAGAGGGGTGAGTGGGGGTGTGGGGAGAGAGGGGTGAGTGGGGAGGTGTGGGGGGAGAGGGGGTGGAGTGGGGGTGGGGGAGGAGGGGTGGTGGGGAGGGGTGGGAGGGGGGGGTGGAGTGAGGAGGGTGTGGGGGGAGAGGGGTGGAGGTGGGGGGGGTGTGGGAGAGAGGGGTGGGAGGGGGTGAGGTGTGGGAGGGGTGAGTGAGAGTGTGAGGAGAGGGTGGGAGGTGAGTGTGAGAGGGGTGAGTGAGAGGTGTGGGGGAGGGATGAGTGGGGGAGGTGTGGGAGGTTGAGGGGAGAAGGGGATGAGGGAGAGTGAGTGGGGAGGGAGGGAGGGAGAGAGAGGTGTGGTAAAGAAAGAAAGAAAAGCCAGAGAAAATAAGAGAGAGAGAGAGAGAGGCTGTTTTTCAATTACCTTACCTTTAAAAACAAATTAGGGACGGCAAATATGATAAAAAAATATAATTTGGGAAAATTTACGTCATTTTGAGGATTATATTCGCGGGTATTATCGAAAAGGTGAATAAAATGCCATAACACTTAAGTTTATTTGTGTTTATTTTCCTTAATGTTTAGTAATTAATTAGTCAAAGTCTTCGATTTGTTAGTGTGATAATGAGCCACATTGGCCGGGTGATAAATTGGGTTGGCGTGGATAGTGGATACACATGGTGGTAGTATGATCCACACAGCTCTTGGCCGCCCTCACTTCCCTATCCACAATTATATAGTTAGGTACCCATTCAAAGCTGTGTCGACTCAAGGTTCCCCGGTCGTGAACCAGTGACCCGTGGAACAAAGGGAAATTTTGTATTTACGACAATCAACACCAAAAAATGTGCTGGGATAGATACAGAATTGTACAGTCAACTACTAGAGTCAGTTCACCTCTCCCCCTGAACCACGAACTGAGAGATTCAGACTCGTGAACCCGATGCATTTATGGATATAATAATGTATCAGTCTACTGCTTCGGGTTCTGACTCTGAATCTCGGGGTTAATGGTTCAGGGAAGGTGAACGGAGGAATTTAGTAGTTGATTGAAGAAACCATGAAGACCAACACAGGTACGACTTGTCTTTATGAGATTAGAATTTATTTATAATACCCAAAAATTTAAAGGAATTTCTTGGTATATCTAAGACAACATAAAACTGTACCGACCAAAAAGTTTAAAATAAATAAACAACAACAAAAAAGTTCACAAGAGGGAAGAAACTATTAAAACTTAACAAAGCCACAAACACTGACGCTATATTCCGGTTAAAACTTCTACCACAACACCTCAACGACGAGAAGGTCACCTGTATAATGATGTAATACAGTATTAAACACTCTTAGACTCAACTCACTTCAGAACTTACTCAACGCATTTCAGAACTCCCTCAATGTACTTCAGAATATAACGGCACACCCCCCAAAAAAGTTGTCAACATACTCTTGTAAGAAGTAACTCAAGAGAATGTCATAAGTATATTTCGTCACTAAACAGAGATAACAATCATACCTGAACCTTAAAACTTTATCTACAACTCTGAAGATTATTTGAACTTCTTCGATAATTAAAAAAAATAAGCTTGGTTAATAACAATCCTCAAAAACTCCACAATAACTATTTTTTTTCAAATGTATTTAAAACATCTTAAAATACTAAGTTTTATTTGGTCAAAACTTCACAGATAATTTTTTTCTCCTGTTCTGACCTGAAACAGAATCACCCCATCAAGGACGAAAACCTTTCACCTAAAATGTCCAGGATCAGAAACATGAGCATCGAGGACCTTAATGGCGTTAGAAACACAAGGCGTGTTCGTTAAGGCTGTCCCCACCCCTAACCCCACCCACCGACCCCACCCACCCACGAAGACTAGCCACAACATGGACGTCGGGTGGGGTGGTGGGGGCAGGGAAGGAAGGCAGGGGAGGGGAAGTGGGGATGAGGGGGGTGTGGCGTGAGGGTTGGTGGGTTTGAGTTGGGGAAGGTGTGGGGTTGGTCAGGGTGTAGATTGGGGTGGTGGGGTGGATCAGGAGGTGGGGTTGAAGGGTTGGGAGCTGTGGGGAAGTGTGCAGGGGTGGGGGGGGGAGGTGTGGGGGAACAGGCTTTATCAAATTTAATCATAAACCAACCCTAAGTTTAATTGTCTCCCAAGCGTCACCAAGTTTGGCTCTCACACTGGCCATTGTGTCGTGTGGATTCTGTGTTTAACCGAATTCTAAACTTCGTATGTTATACAACTGTTGTATGAATGATGATTGCGGTCACCCAGAGTGTTGTATTTTGATGTATTTCTTGTATTGTATGATCTGGTAATACACAAACTACATCTTCCTTATACAATAGAATGATTGTTGCATCAAGAAAGCGAACAAACGCAAACAAACGCCAAACAAAAACACAAACAGTATAAAGCATATGTAAACAAACCAAAGATATTTACAAACACAAAACAACATAGCAAACATCTCAGATGTATCCACACAACGACGTAAATGAGTATGAACACACACACACACACACACACACACACACACACACACACACACACACACACACACAAAAACAGGCAAAATACTTAAGTAATGTAACAACGAGGGTGGCAGACTCAGAGAGACTGTTTTCTCCATCAACTAGGAGAACCCAGTGAGTTAACGATTTACAAGGCATCCCAACTGAGTCATACGAGACCTTGAGCAGTGATGTGAGGAGGTCAAAAGGTTAATGCTTTAAGTGAGGCAGTTGGACGGTCATAATTACAATACGTCGATTCTGTACAGAGTTGAACCCTCTGATGATTTAACCCTTTTGACGACGATAATTTAACACTTGATGATTATTTAACCCATTAACGAAGAAGATTTAACCCTTTAACGACTATAATTTAGCTACCTAATAATTACTTAACCCTTTGATGATTATTTAACCCTTTAACTACGAAGATTTAACCCTATACCTACTATAATTTAACCCTCTAATGATTACTGAACCCTTTGATGAGTATTCAACCTTCTTCAATGATTTAACCCTTAGACAACGATGATTTAAGCACACCCAGGTTGAGAGGAGGAGGGAAAAAGGGGAGAGGAAGAGGAGGGAGGAAGGAGGAGGGAAGAGAGGAGGGAGGAAGAGGAGGAGGAAGAGGAGGGGGTAAGGAAGGTTGTTTAAAGTGCTTTATCGAGTGCTGTAATTCTTTGAGGAGGGCTTAACGGAACGACCCCCAAAAAACTCAAAAGACACTTTACAAGAGTTGGGGATGTGTCGACTACCTCACTCAAAGCTAAAGTATTCATTTAGCCTTGAAGAGGAAGAGGAGGAGCAAGAGGAGGAAGAGGAGGAAGAAGAAGAGAGGAGGACGAGTAAGAAAAAAAGTAGGAAGAAGAGGTAGGAGGAAGAGGCAGAAGAAGAAGAAGAGGAGGAGGAGGAGGGAGGAGGAGGAGGAGGGAGGAGGAGGAGGAGGAGGACAGTGTGGAGATGAGACTAAAAAAATCTTCATCCAGGATATCCGGGTCAACTACGTCGTGTAAGCTTAAGCCTTTAGCCTTAAGGAAGCTAATGTGGGGAACTAAAAAAGTCTATAAGAGGATTTCTGGTCAGCTAAGTCACGATAAGCTATTTTATTTTTTTTTAGCCTTGAGAAAGTCTTTGTGTAACGCTAAATCCCTTTCTATTCCTGTGGAGGATTTTGAGGGGATTACAGCTAACCCTGCCTACAAGACACTCATGATCAGCTAAATAACTTGGGCCGAAGCACTTCATCCAGTTGGACAGCTAAAACGATATGTAAAGGATATATTCTCAGCTACATCACCTGAGCTAAAATATATCTTGTGGAGTTATTTATAGAAAGCTAAAATCACACTTGGTAAGCACTTAATCTTGTGGAAGTCTTTGAGGGGAAAGCTAAATATTTAGGACTAAAGATAAAATACTTGACCCTGTGTACGTTTGAGAACACTAAACCGGCTTAATAAGACTTGAGACACAGCTAAGATACTTACAGTGGCGCACTGAGAATACATAAACACTGTCTCTTCATCCGGTCGTGAATAATAATAATAATAATAATAATAATAATAAATGATGATGATAATAATAATAGTAATTGTAGTAGTAATAAAAACAACATTAGTGTTATTATTATTACTATTATTATTATTATTATTAGTAGTAGTAGTAGTAGTAGTAATAGTAAATTACCTTGACACACCCACATAAATACTACCTTAAACAAACTTCAGGTGGTGGCTTTTGTCCGTGTGTATGTCACTGTCTTGACACTCACCTGAGCTCCACAGTCCAGTGTATTCTGTAAAGACAAAACATAGTTGGTGAGTACCTCAGGTGACAGCAATATACCACGTGTGTGTGTGTGTGTGTGTGTGTGTGTGTGTGTGTGTGTGTGTGTGTGTGTGTGTGTGTGTGGGTGTGTGGTGTGTGTGTGTGTGTGTGTGTGTGTGTGTGTGTGTGTGTGTGTGTGTGTGTGTGTGTGTGTGTGTGTGTGTGTGTGGTGTGTGTGTGTGTGTGTGTGTGTGTGTGTGTGTGTGTGTGTGTGTGTGTGTGTGTGTGTGTGTGTGTGTGTGTGTGTGTGTGGTGTGTGTGTGTGTGTGTGTGTGTGTGTGTGAAGGGTTGTTGTTGGTGGTGGTGGTGTTATTGTTATTATTGTTGTTGTAATTGTTGTTAATATTGTTGTTGATGTTATTCATTTTTATAAGTAATACGCTATTATTATTATTATTATTATTATTATTATTATTATTATTATTATTATTATTATTATTATTATTTGTTGTTGTTGTTGTTGTTATTAAACTTAAATCACATAAGCAAGATATTAAACTGTACAAAGACCAAAATTACATTATTAACACAAACAAGAGCCGATATTAAACAATAACTTCCCAACAATAGTCTTATAAAGGTATTACTCTATTTTATTACAACTACCAAGAGTAATAAAAGATTCTATTGTTTTAAACTATTGATATGGTGCTGTGGCCATTAGGGTATAGTGAACCGTGTAGTGATTTAGTTTTGAACATTAATTTGACCTTATATAGTGAAATATTTTGACCCTTGTGCAGAAAATGTTTGACCCTGACCTAACCTAACCTTATGCAGATAGTGTGCTCCCAGCCCAGCCCAACTTAACCTAACCTAACATTACTTTGATCTTCACACTAACATACTTAAGCAGTATTATAGTTCCCAGAAGTGTAATAACAACGAGACGTAAATATAAGACAACGGGGAGTTCTGGCTGCTGCTACCAATACATCCACGAGTCATAAAGCAAATTATATTCCTATGTCTGTCTGTCTGTCTGTCTGTCTGTCTGTACATATCTCTCTTTCTCTTTCCTTGACTCTCTCTCTCTCTCTCCGTCTCTATATTTCTGTCCATACATATTTCTCCACCCCTCTCTCCTCCCCTTCCCGTCTTCCCCCTCCCATCCCTTCCCTTCCTTCAACGCTAAATAACAACGACAGATAAATTCCTTGCAGGACTCCAAAGGCTTTCAAATATTCATGAACAAAAAAGATACGAACCTGACACATCACAACACAACACAACAAAACACAACACAACACAACACAACACATCACAACACAACACAACACAACACAACACAACACATCACAACACAACACAACAAAACGCAACACAACACACTACAGTAGCAGGTTTGGGTCTAAATGCCACCACAGAGTTCAAACTTCAATATATTATATGCTTATATGAATCACTTGAAGATTAACCCCTAGTTTATTTCACCTTAAGATTAACCATCCTAATGCTAAAACAACCTGAAATAACCCAACTTAATCCAACCAAACCAAACCTAACCAAAACAAAAAACAAACTTAACCAAACCAACTAAACCAAACCAAACCAAAAACCAAACCAAAAACCTAACCTAACCTAACCTAACCTAACCTAACATTGAGGTAAAGCGTTACGAACTGGAGGGAAGGATTCAATTCGTGACCTGTTTACATATAAAGTTCTTTGCATATTTGATCATAAAGTTCTGGTCGCGAGGTATAAATATAAATGAGACAAACCAACTCAGCATGCAAGGTTCTCTGGCGGGGAGGAGCTTTTGGCATATAGAGTCCAGACACGATCGATTTTTCAATATAATGCCACAAGTTACGAGTTATATACAGCCCCATCAAGCTTTATTCTAACCCATCCTAGTCCACCCCAGGCCAGTCTAGCCCAAGCCCAACCCAGTACACCCCAGTAGAGCCCATGCCCAGCCCAGTCTAGTTCAACCTAGTCAATCCCTGCCCACCTTAACTCAGCCCAAAGTAACCTAACCCAACACAACACAATCCAGCTCAATGCAGTCTAACCTACTGCAAGCCATCCTAACTTAGCTCACCTGACCCTGAGTAACCCCATCTACCCAACCCAACATAAACCAACCCAACCCCAACCGAACCCAAGCCCAAGCCAGGCCAATCCAGTCTAGATGAGAAAGAATACTATAGATAAGATGGGTATAAAGAATTAACGATTTCTGTGGTTTAATAAATAACTATTATCATTGGTTTAGTGTGGTTTAGATCAGAGATGATAGAGAATACAAAAGATTAACAAGTCTATTCAATTCTGTGATTTAGCAAATGTCTATTGTGTGGTTTAGTGTGGTTTAGATCACAGGTGAGAGCTTATACAATAGGTGAACAAAATCACTATTCAATATTGCTTATAGTGAATTGCTATTGACGCCAGTGTTGTGTGATGTGAGAGAGAGAGGGAATGTTGTGCCATTGACTGCAATTGTGGTGTGTTGCGCCATCTGGGCTCCACACTAACATGCTCCACTCCTGTAAATTCCAAACTCAGCCAGATTGATCAGACGATGACGACAATAACAGCTTTGAAGTGTGACCTGGACTGAGGGATGAGACCTATACTTGTATAATGGTATTTGTGTTTGGTTTCTGAATCTGAACTAATTATTTACACATGCTATTAGGACTATTGTTATGCTATTACTATTACTTTTCCTTTATTACTAGTACTGCTACTCCTATATGCCTTTATGTTGTTGCTAGTATTGCCACTATTTTCACTATGCTATTGCTATTAGTTTCATTTTACTATTGTTACCGCCTTTTTATTTCATTAATTTGTCATTTTCTGTTATTAATAGTTTTGTGTATTCTTCATTAATGCTACCTTGTGTCTTTTACTTAAGTATTTTAGTATTTTCCTCACCAATCCTTCATACAACAATAAGACACATTTGAAGAAACGTTGTGTTCTCCTTAAACTTGATAATAACAAGTGACGACATGTTTTATTTTCCCAAACAATAAATTTTAGTGACAAAATATATCTTCTTGCCAGTTATTAACAAATTATAACCAGACCAATATATTTTTTACCCAAATAATAAGACTTATCACCAACAAATATCCTCTTGGCAGATATTAAGAAACATAACTCAGTAAAAGTCTTTCTTTTTACCAGATATTAACCAAGAATAACACCCCAGCAAATGCGTCTTTTTTACAGGATAAGAACAAACGAAAACCCCAACAACTGTATGTTTTTATTTTTTTCCTAGGAGGAGGAAAAACCATCATCGCATCCTGCCAAAGTCACCCCAACAACCTCTCGAGTCGGCAGCGTCTCCTTCTTCCTCGAGAAACCTTTGACAGTGTTAAGTAGATGATGGACTCACTTCTGTGCCTGAGTGGGCTCAAAATATCTTACTTAGGTCCCTCCATCTTTCACCAACCACTTAGGGTACAGATGGACGAGGACCCTTCAGGCGTGACTAATGCATTACCGACTCAGAACCTAACCGAGCCAAACTGTTTCCCATCCGCGGTCGACTGGGCCAAGTGGAGACCTTCCTGGGAATACATACAGCATCGTGGTATTGTATAACTGTTATTTGTAGGATTATACTTTATTGAGGAATTATAGGCTTATATAAATGATAAGTAAAGGAATCATATACTTGTGTTGTTGTTATATGTTGGATTATATATGTGTAGAGATTAACGGGTTGCATTATATGTTGGACGTGGGCAACTGAAGGGTCTTTCTGGGATTACAAATGGCGTCATGGGTTTGTTGTATTGATGTAGAATGCAAGTTGATGAAATTTCTTAACTACTAAATATAAAATCACACGTCATTTGTAAGATCACAAGTTTCTATAATCATTGTAAGATAATTAATGTATATAATTGTTATTAGAATAAAATCATAAGTCTATAACATAAATGGTTGGTATAACTAACGATACAAGATTTCTGACTTAACTTACAGTATTTATCATCTCCCTCATCGATTATTTCTCACTGCAGACATGAAGCCATAAGATGTCTGACTCGTCACACCGTTGTCATATTTATCCTCACAGTAATACTAATCAATGGCGTATTAACTTCACCAAAGTTCAGAAATAGATCTTGTTTTCTAGTCTTATTAAATATATTGTTTTTATTATGGAGATCAAGAGTTCAAAGGTCAGAGGTCACCACATATTGTCATTTATTTCACAAACTAATTATGGTTAGATATTTAGAGTTTAGTAATCTGATTAAAAATAAGTGAGGACATTTTTCTCCTTTTCTAGAGGTGTTCGGGGGTTTAGGCCTCAGTGAGGATGGTTAAAGTCCCCAGTAGATAAAACAGGTTAAAATGACTCGGTGAACATAACTTAAAGATCCTGGTCTAAGTTGAAAGTCGTAAAATGACTCAAATACAAATTTATTAAACGGTGCTTGAAGATCCCTGTACACACACACACACACACACACACACACACACACACACACACACACACACACACACACATCAATCCAAGACATTTTACAGCACCTGATGATAGACTTTAACCGAACACAAGAGAGATGAACTGACTATAACAACAACTCCAAGATGATAGCAACAGCGCTGTGACTCGTCCGTATCTTGAGAGAACCGGGGCCCTCATCACTTATACGCTGGGGCCTTTTTACTTATTCTCTGGGGCCCTTGTACTTATTCTCTGGGGCCCTTATTACTCATTCTCTGGGGCCCTTATTTCATTCTCTGGGGCCCTCCTCATTCTCTGACCCTTACCTTGGGGCCTTTTCTGGGGCCTTATCATTCTCTGGGGCCTATTTATTCTCGGGCCCTTTCTATCTCTGGGCCCTTTTCTATTCTCTGGGGCCCTCATTACTTACTCTCTGGGGCCCTTATTCTTTGTAACTACATATTAACAGAAGCTAAAAAAATACACTAGATTTAACATTCTACAATCCAATTCTGAGATATTGTAGTGGTGTTCGTATGTAA